ATGTATCCTTCATCCAGTTACACTTAATGTTTATGTCTTATATATAACTATGGTACATTTGTCCCAACATTTGTACATTATTATTAACTAATTCTAAGTTTCATTTGGATTTTGCCAGTTTCCAACTAATATCCCATTTCTGTCCCAGGATACAATTCAGAACCTTACATTGCATTTAGGCAATATTTAGTCTTGTGTGTTCATTTTCATGCTGTGTATTGTTTGGGTGGACTTATAAGTCAATGAATACTCATGGCTCCCACTCTTCAGAAGCTCATGGGTCTATAAGGCAAAATCATATTGCAGAAAAGTGTATGCATCTCCATCCTTAGATCTTTATTTCATTTGTGGTGCTGGGGATGAAACCCAAGGCCTTGTGCCTGTTGGGAAAGGGCTCTACCACTGAGCTACATCCCCAGGCCAGACCTTAGAACTTTAAAATTTAATATATGAAGCTTGAGGATGTCATACCAGTAGAGGAGTCTTTCTTGGAAGTCCATAGCTCATTGATCAGCAGACAACCCATAATGGTGACGCTAGTAATATGCCAGCTGAATCTTATGTGCTAACTGGCTCAGGATGGGATAGATAGGCAGGGTCCTTCTTTTAGGACATTCTGACCAGCAAAAAAAAATATTGTATTACATATGTCAATCAAAGCAAGATGTACAAAATAGAGTCCAACAGGCTGTTTCACATCATATAACCATTTTTTTCTTTATTTTTCTTTAGGTTCTTTGGCATTATGCAGACTCAACTGGAGATATGTAAATAATCCTTCCTAATCAGAAAGAATAATCCAAATAAAATTGACAAAACTTTTTTCAAATAGATAAAAAAATCTGAGATAATAGGGTGTAGGGAATTAGGCATTTTGTGTAGAACTCTGGTGAGAAAATGAACTGACTCATCCTTCAAGGTCACAAGGGACTTTGCAATTTGGGTTTTCAAGATATGGATACCTATTGACACAGTCAGCCAAAAGATAGTCAGCACTATATTGTTGCAATTAGAACAACATAATTGTTGGTCAAGATTGTTTAGACAACTTATAGGACAGGCATATAGAACTAATGTGAAGCTTTAAAAAATAACATTTAAAAAGAATATTTATTGACAAAGTACTGCTAATAGACAATAGGATTCTTTTGTGTATGTATGTATATATTTGTTTTTGTGAGAGTTGTTTTACTAAATATGTTAACAATGATTATTTGGGGGAATTGGAGATATTCTAACAATATTGAGATGTAATTCACACACCATATAATGTCCCCCCTGCCTTAAATTGTTTGCTTATTCTAGACATGTCTTACGAATGTTATTATACAATATGTGGCCTCTTGTAACTGGCTACTTTCATTTAGCATAATGTTCCCAAGGTCCCTGCATGTTGTTCCATGTGTCAGTACTTCATTTTGTTTTTAG